AATAGTGGCACAAAAATAACGCCATACAAAAACAGTGCAACTTTTTGTAGTCTTACTAAACCCCTACTGAGGGACCTGTGATGATATGGGGGAAGTAGTATGCAGCCAACTTGGGTCTAACAGAAAGCCCAGTCAGCCTGGACAAAGCTGCACAACTGCTGGACATTATATATACTGTATATCATACACCCAAGTAACGTCAAGGCTCATAACCTCAGGAGCTGTTGGTATTTTAATGACTGACTAGAATTAAATGATTCATTTTGAAAATAAAGCCACGCCTCCCATTACTTCCTGGAAGTACCACCTAAATACTGCATGCTGAATACTATTAATTACTTTTAAATACCTTGAATTTGTGTAAAATTCAAATAAACGCACACATGCACACTTACTTTTTACACAATTTTTTATTTTTTTTTTCTAATTACAGACTCATGGGTTAAAAATAAAAATAAAAAAAGCAAAACATTTGTTCAAACCCCCTTCCCCTTTTCAAAAAGAAAAGGAAAAAAAAAAAGTCTCCACACAAACCCCACCCCTGACTTCCCCCACTCTAAAATAACAACTCCAGCCCACTCTTTTCATTTAATTAATAATCGATGCTGTTAGCTCGTCGGCCTTCCTCAGACAAGCCGTGACTGCACTGCGCGTAGTCAGAGAAAGGGGGCGCCCCAAAAAACACCCTCGTCTCTGGTCCTGCCTTTCTCGCTCTCAAGCAAACCTGCCTGCCACTCAGCTATGTTGGCTTCAGCTCTCTGTATATAAATCATGTGTTGGGTTGGCTGCCTGTTAAGTGCCATCTGTACTGCCGTGTGCTGCGGTGCATGTTGAACAGGTGTGTGTGTGTGTGTGTTTGTGTGTGAGTGTTTGTGTGTGAGAGACATTTGAAGTGTGAAAAGGACTAAAAGCGTCATCAGCGTTTGCTGTTGTAGTAAATGCCCCCCGCGGCGGGCCTGTGATCGCCCTGTCCCCCTCCCCCGCCCCCCCACACTGACAGGATGGGGTGAGTGTGCATAGCGGGAGCAGAGAGAGAGAGAGATGCTGCAGAGACAGTGGGAGGGGCCGGCGCCACCTGGGGAGGGGTTGTCAGCCTCCACTGGTCCTGAAACCTGAAACGACAAGAAGTGGTCTAATATACAGAGAGAGGAGGGGGGAGGGGACAAGGTGCACAAAGGGAAGGAGGGGAAGAACAAAGGGGCGGGAGGGATTGCACGAAAATAAAGAGTAAAAACAGTAGATGCCTGTCAAAAGAATTTACAAAAAACAAAACAGGAAAAAAAAACAAAAAAAGAGCTGTAGCCATGCCCGAGTTGAAGGTGACAAGGATGGACGAGCGGCAAGGATGTGGCAGCACAACTAATAACCCCCCCACAAAAAAAACACCCCAAATCAAAAAGAAATACAACTCCACTGAACACTGAAGGTCCATCACTGTCCACAGATCAAGCTGACAGCACACAACATAATCCATGTTGTGATGAAAGGAAGAGAGGTTGGAGGGGAGGAAACGTTAGAAAAAAAAATAAATCAGGGGTGGGGGGGAGGAGGGTTAAGAGGGGGCAGAGAATGGGAGACACACAAGGGGTCGGAGAGGGTGCGAGCAGGTAATGACAAACTCCAAACCACAAACGTAACACAAATATTTGATAGATAATGGAAGTTTCACATATCTATGTTACATTGAAAAAAAAGAAGAAAAAAAAGAGAACAATGTGTATTCTTGTGTATGTTTTTTTTCTCTCCCCCCCCCCCTGCTGTGGAGGCGGTGGTGAGTGGGTGGGCTGTGTTGATGATGGTGTGAAAGCAGGAGGTCACAGCCAGACCAAAGGAGACACATCTGCAGCCTGAGATTGAGATACCATCATCGTCTCCCCCCCCCAGATACCTCATCCCCACCTTTCCTCCCTCTTCCAAAAACAAAAAAAAAACAAAACAAACAAACACTGCCATAGTAATCCTCCCCTCCCTCCCCCAAGAGGCCAACGTATACCTTACCAGGGGCGACCGCATCAACCTCTGCACAAGCACGCTCACACACAATCTCACACTGCGGCCAGCCAGTCTCTCTGTCCAGGAGAAGTGTGTTTTTGTTTTTGTTTTTTTTTTTTCCTTTTTTGTCTTTTTTTCTCTCTTCTGGGGTTCTCTTCTTTTATTGTTGGGGAAAGGGAAAGGACTTTTTCATTGTGTGTGTTTGTATTTTTTTAATATGGGAACAGAAATAGGGGGAGAGGTTTGATAGTAAGGAAGTATTTGGGATGGGGGGGAGGGTGTTTAGTAAGGGGAATACCACGATGTTGTTCGCCCTCGGCCCCTGGAAAAGAGAGAGAAAAAGAGGGTGAGTTTTTTCTGTTTGGCTTAAGAAGACGGACACCAATTTCCTGGTGCGATGTAGTAAATAAATATGTGCATGTGTGCGACTGTGGGCAGAGGAAGGGTCTGAATTTCAGTCCTGGAAGTAAAGTGAACGGGGAATGAATATATTGACCTACGTCAAAAATAAAAGAAAATAAAGAAAAACAGTGTTTAGGACAGTGTTCACAAATCACTAAATAGACATCTTTAAAAAAATGTGCCTTTGATCTTAGAAATAAATCAGTGTGGAAGAATAGTGGTGAAAGAAGCTGAAAGCAGCTTTGTCAAGAGAGGAAAAGTGTTTAATTTCCAGATAAAATGATTAGTGTGTGGGTGTGAGGGGACAGCAAAGGCACTCTCTCGCCCTCTTTCTCTCTCTCTGTGTGTCTCTCTGTACGAGAGCCGCCTCTGGGGTCACTGTGGGGAAAGACCTTGAGGACAAACAGCACCACACATATACCCCCAGCAACACAGTGCACACAAACATTCACAGTTAAAAAGCGACATAAACTGCACTATTATTCTGCACGCATCACCACCCGATACACAGCCAGGCGGCAGTGAGCCGCACACACACACACACACACACACAAACGCAGTCAGCAGCACAAACACAAAGAGGTCACACTGGGACTCAAAAGTTCAGCGGTTGATGGGCTAAATGCTGAAGTCAGGCTGCAGTAATGAACCTTCGTTTCTGGGAGTGAACGCTGGAAGGCTGAAACTGAGCTGGAAGGTGTGTGCCGTGTCTGAGGAGGAGGTGGTTAAGGAGGAGGAGGGGGGGGGGGGGTTATGTACATGCAAGGATGTCCACAACAAAAGGCACAAACAACAGGTTCTTTCACATCATCTACTCAGTACGTGCGTCTTCTGGCTCACATCAAAATCTTGGCTTTTCACCACAGCAGCTTGGGAAGATGAGGATGATGTTAATGGAGGCAATATCAGAGAAAAGACTTTGTGCAGCCAGAGGTCAATTAAGTGCACGTTAGCATGATTGATCATCTTTGTGCTCTGACTTTCTGTCGTGGTTTCAGGTGCAGCTTAGGAACAGAACACAAAGCGGGGCTTTGATAAAATCTCTGCTTCTAAAACAAAGCCAATCGAAACACACGTGACTTACAGACGTCACACGGGCTGTGAAATCTTCCCAAGCTTACAACAGGTCAATGCAAAGACTTTTAGCTACGCGTTTGTTCACCATGGACTTTTCCCACAGCAATACAAGGCACCAGTGAAACTTGGTAGGATGACTATGAACTGCAGGCTAGTGATGAATTCACAATGTAGCAAACGCACAGCTCTTCAGCTATCAAGGCCAGTTCAGCCACTCTGTGGCTGATTGTTACACGTGAACCAAGGCTGTAAGATAATAAGATGATACACTGTAGTATTACCAGTAATACCCAGGAGGGGGGTTTCTATCACTCTGAGTCTATTAATTACATCAAATCACAGATGGAAACCACAGAAATATTTATACATAGTTAATGTGAGTCAAAATGAGCAGCATATTTAAAACCTCAGATAACGTGACTGGAACGACTGGAGGCCCAAGCTCACTTAAAGCTTTTAAAGTCAAATAACGTTTACAGGCTCCTTTCACTTTTTTCAGCTTGCAAACACTTCATTATGAGTGCTTTCAACTTCAGGAGACTTCATCTAACATACAATCCTCTCAGTTTCTGCCCAAGTCTTTGTATGCCTTGTCGTGCAACGCAGGCCAAATCCCAGTGAGTAAACTATCAGGGTTAGGGTTTCTTGGTATGTGTGGGAGTGGCTCGAGTGAGTACACAGACTGATTAGAGAGATTCTGACCTTGAGGTTCAGACACTTTCTCACACAGGAACAAATTGAGATGGAATCCTTTCCTGCGGTTATTTAAAAGCAGCCTTGCTGAAATGGGGAATCATTTCACAAATATCCCAGTTAAGTCCAAGGGCAAAAATGAAACAATAGAAAAATCACATGATAAAATAGGCTAAATAGGGCCTGTCAGAAGAACTTGGCAAATGGATTCATTGTTACAGCAGCTTTCTACTGGAACATGTTGTTTGTTAAACATCTAGTATTAAGAAAGAGCCTGGGCCCTCGAGGTTCCAGATGATTTGCAGAGCCAATCAAATCAGAATCTCTCAGTCTTAAATCTGAGTGGATGTGAAGAAGTTGGCATGCTGATCAGCGCGTTTGGCACCACACCTCCTTTCTCAGTCTCAACAGAAAAGAAAAAAATACAAAGATGGCTCCACAGACTGAGCTCTACTGTGTGGTTTCTACAGAGTTTTGTAATGAACGAAGGCTATAAGGACTTGCTGGAGTTTATATGAAGGAACAGTAGATGACATCAATAACACAGAATATGTCTGTGAAGGTTCTCAGTCATCCAGGTCATCGTAGTCTAAGGAGCTTGGAAAGAAAAGTCTCTGGACTTCTTTGAGTTGCTTGAAGACGTTTCACCTCTCATCCGAGAAGCTTCTTCAGTTCTGAACTGAAAAAGCTTCTCGGATGAGAGGTGCAACATCGGATGAGAGGTGAAACGTCTTCAAGCAACTCAAAGAAGTCCAGACGCTTTTCTTTCCAAGCTCCTTAGACAACACTCAGAATAAACTCATTACTTTTGCAACACTAGATCTTAAAGACTTTCACCCCAGGTGGAAAATGGTAACTACAAAATGCTGCAAACTTGCACTGTGCAGAGACTACCTCCATGTGCAGCACAAGATGCACAACAACCCACTGACAGGACCCCAAAGCAGAACTCTGAAGTGGAGCTCATCAAAATCATGATGTTGTGTGCAACTGTGAAAATACTGCATGTAGAGAGCCACCAGAATCCCAGTGCACAACACACTGATCAACACCAGGCTTTTTCTCTCATTCTTTACAGAGCCACATAACAGTAAACGGACTTTGCTGGATTTTCCAGACAACACAATCATCAGTGTGTTCACTACACCACTGCTGATAAATGCTGTGTTTAAGTAAACCAGTGCTACAGGTGAGCGAACCAACCATCACAAAGCCCAAACATCAGTTATTAAAAATGGTTTGCATGCTGCTGCACCATTAGTGGCCCAAAGAAGTTAAAAACCTCATCAGTGCAAGTGCTGCAGCTTTGCACCAGTAACTTTCCACTACAGTCAAGTTTGCAGAAACTTCATTGGCAGCGGCCCAAACAGATCCAATTTATGCAGAGTGCATGTGCAGCCTGGGAGGAAGAAGGTGGTGTGCAGCGAGTCCGTAAGCCTGTCTTGAAATGGTCGTAATGTGATGCAGCATGCAATGAATCCCACAACCAGTTAGCCCTGCTACATGTTGTGTTTTTGCCTTTATTATTACAAAATACATCAATGTGTGTCCGTCATTTATTCTATGAATGTAACCAAATAAAATAAAGAGGGAAAAAGGGGGGAGGGGGGGGTATAGCAACTGATATACAAGTAATAATATCATGATGAGTGTTTTTAATTCTATGCCACAACTCGCACAGTTTTTACTTCTGTATCAGATAGGGGTGAGCAATCTGATCAAACTTTGTTACTGCATTGCACGGACTTAATCCCACATGATCAATCACATGACTAGCTGTTCATATGGTTGCCAGGATACACAGCCTATATGTACAATGCAGTTGTCAGCTCTGGTACTGAGAAAAGCTGTAATCGTGAGGGGAAACGATAGTTAATGATGTCATCTTCACTAAATTAGAGTTGTACATGATAATCTTTTCAAATTGGCCACCTCTGTGTACAAGGGGCTTTTTGCCCTTTCTGTACTTACCTTCTCTGTACTAATCAATTTTAATCTGGAAGACTTAAACACTGGACAAGCACATGCTCAGATTAAGAGGGACGTGACAAATGTCACCCACCAGCCCTCTGTCCAGTCAATCCTTATTTTCTGATTTGCAAACTGAAAATCTGCCCCAAATTAATTAGCCAAGTTGTCTATTTACTTTATTATAATCCCTGTCCTCTGCCAGACTACCGGTGCCTTCTCTAACGGGCCTCCTCAGGAATTCTAAATTCCAAACATTACAAGACGCTGTAATCCATCTTTAACAGTAGTGTCCACTCTGGCTCATCATGACTGTCTGCCTTGCTTTTCCTGTGCTCCCTTTCAGTGCAAACAGTGAGTGGGATGCATGCAGGTGATGTGCTCTCCCCTGGTGTCAGACATGAGGATGTCTTTGTGTCAGCTCACCTGAAGGCCCGTCCTCTGCCTCTAGGTGGTGTGTAGCCACTGTAGTAGCGTGCACGCAAGGAGAAATTTCCTCCCCGTGATCGGAATCGAGCCCGTGGAAAGCCACGGTCTGTGGTGCTGATGCCTGGTCTGTTTGTTCTCTTAGCGCCCACCTAAAGAAAAAGGGGACCTTGCATAAACCACAATATCCAAACAGTCTTCTGTGCTTTCACACTGAAAGAAATTTGTTTCCTCTTAATTTGTAGTAAAAACTCAACAACCTTGCCTTTTAGCTTCAATTTTGTGTTTTTGTATTTTTAAAATCAGTGCTTCTAATCATCTGCCACAGCAAGAAAAACAGAGAACCTTCTAGTTTAGACTGGCCAGTCTCAATATTGGGGAAACTGACCAGAAAAGAGCCAATAAATTGAAGGTCAGACACTAAAACCACATTTCTACAAAACAAAAAAACAAAACAAAAACAACAACAAACACATTAAAATCTTCTTGTAGACATGCAACCAATCAAGACAATCCTATCCAGGACAGACAGAATGACCAGTGATTATTATGACCTCATCAGCTAAATGTAGTCAACAGTACTCCTGTTACTGCACTGGTGAGGTAGCTGCAAATTATGTTGCTCCCATTAAGTTCATGCTGCAACTGCGAAGTGTTTTGAGATGGACGATCATCATGTTTCTGTGAGAAAGTCTCAGGTTTAAACTGACACTTCTCAGATCCACACACTGTAAAAAAACCCACTACCACCTCATTCAAGGAGCTGAGATATTTAACCTCGAAAATGTCTCACCTTTATCTGCCTTCCTCTGAAAAGTGACTCATCCAAAGCCATGGCTGTCCTAACAGACTCTTTGTCTGCAAACTCAATATAGGCAAACCTGCAGGGGGGAAATAAAATCAATCACTTGGCTACAGTAAAACTAATCTATCAACAAAAAAAGCACTACAAAAGGTTTTTTTTGTAGTGCTTTTTTTGTTAATTACTAAAGAAAAACAAGGATAAAACTGATTTGCAGGTGATTTATATGAAATGAATAAAAGGAATCATAATCAACTTTCCAGCGCTAGAGAAGCTTTTAAAATGTGCTCATACTCTTAACTGACTGATCCAGCTACCAATATGCAATAATATCATTTCACTGTAGAATTTCTGATCATTACCCCTTGGGATGCCCTGTGTATTTGTCACATAGGATGGTGACTCTGTTTACTGAACCGCAGCCATGAAAGTGAGCTTCGAGCTCTTCTGCTGTAGCACCGTAGTCCACCTGCAGACAGAAAAAAAATATAAAAGTGTTAGCATCAAGACAGCTGCGTCACCAGCGCTGTATTATACATTAAAAATACGACAACAAAAAAAACTATTAAAGCACAAAAGTAAAAACTAATGCTGAATGTATTTACAATGTGACACAAAACCAGGTCAAAAGTAAAAAGCTGCCTTAAAATTGTCTGAGAGATACCAGTGAGGCAGACGCCCAAAGGATTCCCACAAACCACCAGACTTGGGCTACGTTCACACTGCAGGTCTTAATGCTCAGTTCCGATTTTTTGATCAAATCTGATTTTTTTGTCTGCTTGTTCACACTACAAATAAAATGTGACAGCAAACGCGCTCTGGTGTGAACCCTCAAAGCGGCCCACATGTGCAAAAGAAGAGGTCACACAAAATGCGCTCTGTTTAGAACCAGACCAAAGTTGCAGATTTCTGTCAGAATCTGCAGATTATACAGCACAAATAAAATGTTCATGTTTCTCCAACGTTGTCTTCCCAACAGTTTCACTAACATCTACACTGGATGGCCAGGAAGCATTCCTAATGTCTTCTCCAGCACTGATAATTGGCATCTGTCTTATGTCAGTGATGTAAAAGACGGATTTAATGCGACGTGACCATTCAAACAGCAGTCGCTTTGTAAAACATCAGATATGTATCGGATTCAGGACCACATACGAAAGTGACCCAGATTGGATTTGTGCTGTTCACACGGTCATACCATGATCGGATGTGGGTCACATAGGGTCAAAAAAGTCGGATTTGATGCACTTTCGCCTGCAGTGTGAACGTACCCTTATTGTCCGAGATTGGAAACAGAAGGTGTTGCCTGGGAGCCACCAGTTTTCTGCTTTACATCAGAGTAGCAAATGGAAAGCACCAAACGCAGCACCAGGGACTCATTTTTCATCTAATAAACCATTCACTCATTTTTGGTTCATTGTTTAAAGTAGGGCTACCACGATTAGTCGACTAGTCACGATTACTAGTCATGATTTAATAGTCGACGTGTCATTTGAAGCTTTGTAAGATCACAAAAGATGCAGGAATAAGTAGTAGAATTTAAGAGTGTAATAACGGACTGAAACAGAAGATGGCAGCACTGCATGTACAAGGATGCCAGCTGCCGTTAAACCCCGAAG